AATCTCCCCTCTGCTGCTCCGCCGGGCCCGCCGCCGCAATTGCCAAGCCGCTCTCAAGCGGCTGCAACCCCCGCCTTCCACGCCGGCGCTTCCCGGCCGCCCGCAGCCCATTTTCCCCAGAGGCCACCTCGCCCGCGACGTCCCTCTGCTGCCTAGTCGGGCCGCCGTCGCCGTCATCGCCCAGCCGCTCGTACACGGCTGCAACTCTCGCCGAGCACTTCCCGGCCGGCCGCAGCCCAGTTGCACAGAGGCCACCTCGCATGCGATTTCCCGTGTGCTGCCTCGTTGGGCTGCCTCTCGCCTCCCAGCCGAGCTCCACCATGAACTCCCCGGCCTCTGCAGGCCCAAAAAGGGAGCCACAGACCGGAGCTCAACCTTTGCCAACGATTAAACTGAACTGCTGGGGAGAAGACACAGGGCCGTCTTTTACTTCTTCGGCCCTGCCCCCTCCGGATGCCCTTATATGGCGCTTTTGGCGCCAAACCCCAGCCTGCCTCATCCGGCAGGGAGGCAAAGGCGCTTCCCCAGCCCAACGGCTGGGCGCCGTGGGCTGTTGAATCGAATTTCCTTAGGTCACACTACTAGAATTTAGCCCTGTAAATTAGATGTTTGCTCTTACACCCACCAAATGCAGACATGAGTCACCAAGTGTGGGTTCAACAAGCTTCTTTTATTAACAGTATTCAGCTTATATAAATGACTGATCTAGATCACTGCTTATTTCAATAAGCCAATGGTTAGGAGTGTGGACTAGTTGCGGACTAAGCAGTTATTATTACAAGGCCTATTTAATTGGGGGGGGGCATCCCACAGAAACAGTACAGAACAAGTGAGGTGTTATGTGTTATGTGTTATGGTTTAGTGCTAAGTTCTTTACCTTAGATGAGAGACGATAAACATCTAGACAGAATAATAATTGTACAGGATAATAATCACACCCCCAAATAATCCAGTGGATACAACTGACACTTTAGTCTTTAACATCTGTTTAGTAATGGATGGCACGGAGTCAGAGCCGTAGCTAAAGCCTTCCTAGTGGGAGGGCCCTGCGCCGCACACACATCACCCGGAAGTGACTTAATGCCCTCCCCCTTCTCTCTCTCTCCAAGCTCCCCCCTCCAATAGACAGCTTCTCGTCGGGACTCATGGCTGTCGGTGGCGGCGTGCTGCGTGGGGGGGGCCTCACCTTCCACGATGGAAAGGAGACTAATTAATGCAGCAGCCCAATCCCTCGCTCCCAACTTTAACACCAGTCACCTACAAGGAAGGAGAGCAGAGCCAACGGGGGGGGGGGATGCAGCCTCCGGCTTACACACGTTTGTCTCAGCTCAGG